TTTTTTTTAAAGTGTTTTGTCTATTAGAAGAGTTGTTAGAGGGAGATGGCAAATGTTGCTTCCTCATAAAGTACTTCTACAAGAAGCAGGAGTTATTCCAAACAGGCTGTAATATGTTCCTTCTAAAACAATGGGAACCAACTTGCTAATGGAGCAATAGGTTAGGGGCCAATAATGCTATTTTCCTTATAAAGTATTGCAATAAATGTGCGGTCTTACAGAAAATGGCTGCTGAGGTAGGAAAACATAGAAGAGTCAAAAAAAGAATAAATAAATAAAATAAAATAGAAGAAATCAATAGCTACAAGATAAGACCCTAACCTCTAAAGCTTTAACAAGGTCTTCCCTCGTATGAGCAGCAGAAATGCAAATGCGAGCACGGGCCAACAGTAAAGGGGTAGCTGGAAAAGCAACTGTTACAACAGCCACCTATGCAGCAGAACAGGAAGTCATGACAAGTGAAATCAAAGTTGAAGTGAAACCATACAGTAATGGACCTTTACTCAGAAATGAAACCAACAAACGGCATCTGTGACAAAGCAAAGCTTACATTTCGTTTGAGGCACTCCCGTGAAAAAGCAGGAATTTTTGATGGATTATAGAGCATGATAGGCATTACAGGGGAATCATTGTCTCCCAATACCTCAAAACCCATTTTTTGCAATTCAGACCGGAAAAAGTTACTGTTTTCACGAATCCGTGCTAGTTTCTGAGCCCCTGCACTAACAAATTGCTCTAATTGTGAGTAAATACTCTCGATTGAGATGGACTTATTAGTTATAAGAAGGCAGAGAGAATCCCACCTCTGTTAGAACCATCTTCTCCAAGAATAACCTTTATGGAAGAAATGATTTGTTGCGCAGCTGGAGGTGATATTGATGTCGCATAAAGATGAGCAGGGCAGGTATACTTCAAGTATTGAATAAGTTCCTGAAAAGTTGAAACGAGATGTTAAAAACACAGAACAAGATGAAGCAAAAAAAAAAAAAAACAGAGGTAGGCTCTCTGATGTTGCACATTATATGAAGCAAGCAATTAGAAGAAATTAGCCCAAAGTTATAAACTTTGATTAAAACTAGAAAAAAAAATAATTTCTGCAATGTGGACTGTTATATTAAATTTATAAATTCAATGATAATCTCTTTCTCAAGATCAAAGCAAGAAGGTTAAAGTTTAAATCTTTACCACCAAGGAAGCGAAAAAGAACTTCAATCACGTGCTTAGATCATCACGTGCCAGATGTTTTTCCATTTCCATGTTTACACTTTACAGATATGTTCATCGAGAAATTCATCAAATTTAAGCAGCACTTGTTGAACCATTAATCACTAAAAAAAAGATGATTTTCAGTGTGGGGCTGTTTTTAAGAGAGTAAGAAGTCGCTCAATTAAAACCATATTTGAACAGCACAATACAGTTACATAAGCTCTTCAATGCGTTAATGTTTCAAGTATTCTTTGTAGTTATATTCGCAGACATTAAATATTATGTGCATGTGTAAATTACGTCCGCAGTCAAGTCATGCAGAACACTTCCTTAGACACAATATCTACAGGTGCACATGTAAAGGAAGCTAGTAAAAGAACCTCAGATCCTGCAATATAACCACCACACGATCCAAATGATTTAGTGAAAGTTCCCATCATGACATCCACAACTGCAGTATCAACCCCTAAGAGTTCACAGACACCCCTTCCGGTTTTGCCAATAGCTCCAATGCTATGGGCCTCGTCCAGATAAACATATGCCTGTTACATGCAGAATATCAATGTATATGCATATTATAAATGAGAAGAATGGCCAAAAGTTCCAAAAAAGTGCAAAGTTATTATCTTAATTTCTTCTATATTAATATTAAGAAAAACCAATATCATATTTTTAATAAGAAAGTCAATTTAGCATAAAAGGTGAAGCTTTCATCCTGACAAGCAAGGTGTAACCTATAGATTATTTCCAAATATGCATATTAATAGTAACCATGAAAACAGGAAACAATAACTTTGTAAGAATATCTACCTTATATTTCTTACATACGGCAACAATCTCGGGAAGCTGGCATAGCTCTCCTTCCATGCTGTATATTCCCTCCACCAGAACAATTATTTTCTTCCAAGGTCTGTGTGTTCTAGGCTGTCCATCAGCAATCTGCTCCCTCAGAACTTTCTCCAAATGGGATGGTACTAGAGGAAGGATGACAGAAACAGCAACATGCATAAAAAAGCACAAGAAAAATAGCGTAGGTAAGAAAACAAAAAATAAACCTTGAACTTACTGTTATGTTGAAAAACTCGAACTGTAGCTCCAGTTCCTCGAGCGCCATTTACTATGGAGTTATGGTTCAGAGAATCACTAATGATCAAACCTCCCTGCATCCAAATTGATTGAGAAGAACTATATACAAGCAAAACATCACAGATAATTCTAGTCAAGGTAATTGGATGTACCTTCCCAATTAATGCAGGAAGAACGGCAGAATTTGTTGCATAACCCATGCCAAAGACTACGCAAGCGGGCTTTCCAACAAAACTTGCCACACATTGCTCCAGTTCAGTGTGCAATGTTGTTGTTCCTGATGACATTGTTCCAGTGATTAATAGTACACTTCAGCGCTTGTCATAATTTTCAGAGAAAAGTCTAATATTGTAGCATCTTGTGAGGAACATGTATTTACCTCCATCAATCCGAGCGCTGCAGGTGCTTGGGGAAAATCTCTTCAAGGATTCAATTACACGAGGCGTACAGTATTCATCAGCTGCAGCAAACCCTAGATAATTATATGATCCTATGTTGAGGCACCTACTGACGTTTTTGGTTCGCCTGCATGTGATGCAACTAAATCAGGAGAATATTTAGAATTAACGTGGCATTTAGGTTGAAGAACCTTGCTTCTGAGTTTCAAATAGCATTAATTTTGTTTACGAACTCCAATGTCACATCAACAATGCAAATAGTGATCAGAATTAGAGGCCAAAAAACGTTTACCGTGATAAAAGTTCACACCAGCTAGTCATATAGGAAAATGAAACAAACTCACAAAGAAAAGATTGTAAACGGGGAATAAAAGTACTTACTGTAGTGTTTTGTTATTGTCTTTGGAGACACGCTCCACCACATCAATCCAAGCATCTGGAGGGCTTGAAATTGGTCGATTAAAGCAGTCCTAAAAATTGTGGGACTTCATTACAGTAGCAACTAAAATGCAGCAAGGAAACATAAAGGTTCACACATGGTTAAGACTTAAGATGCAGTAAATTGCCGCCATCTTGTGAATGAGTATACTATTCACTAACAGCATGCAACAATAACATCTGAATGAAACGACATTCCTGTTGCTTATCATTGTCAAGATTTTGTAAACATTCCAACTAAGAATTTTAAGCAATGGCAGTCAGAATTTAACATATACGTGTGTGCATGTGAATCCATACTAAACCACTGGAGAGTACTCTGAGAAGATCCACTAGCATGAATTCAAACTCAAGAAATATAAATCCAGTAGTCTTAGCCAAACAGTCCAAGCAACACCAAATCTTGAACCAATATCATCATCCAGTTATACATATAAAACACATTTTCCTTCTAATACTATAGCAATAACATTCAATCATCTGTTTAATATTTTCATTCCTCACTAATTTGTCACCTTGTTTAATTCCAACTTCTATCTTTTTCCCCCCCCTAAAAAAAGATAAGATGAAACAAAAAACAAAGATGACTACTTTTTCCATCTATCTCCTCTACAATTTATCCAGGCAAAATTACATGAATTTCAATATGCGACTCTTATCATCACTAACCAATTTCAATTCAGTTCTAAAATAATAATTTTTTTTTATATTTGTTAGGAAACGAATCTCATTTTTAACAAACAGCAAGGCATTCAAACAGCATCGCAGATCACTAAAAACTTATCCACATAAAACAAAACAAGAACTCAAAAACTAGTGAGAAAAAAAATGTTAGCAACAAATATTCAATTTCAAATTACCTGAATCCGCAGGTACAACCTCCGAACGTAGAAATCCTCTAGCCCCAAGCAGATCGGCGCATACCCCTTCCATTACAAAAACAACACCACCATTTCAAATCAAATCAAACCAAACTAAATCACATACACAAATACAGATACATAACAAACGAACAAACAAACAAACGTTAAAATTACCTGAAGGCTGCTTTGGGACCACCAATCGATGATTTTACGGAAGAAATCACGCAGCTGGCCGAATACGAAAAGAAGTCCATAGCTGAAGTAAGTTGTCAAAGCGGTGAGATAAGGAATCGTAATCATTATCGATCGGCCGGAGAAGCAGAGGATTGGAGCCTCTCTACAAAGATCCAAATTGAGAGAGAATTCAAGAGAGAGAAAACTGGCTGGCTGGGGGGTGAAGAGTGAGAGGATTGGGTATGAGGGGTGGGCGTGGGTTGGGTCGGGTCGGTTTTTGCCCCAACCCAACATTGTCGGTTTGTTAGAAATCCAACCCAACCCAACCCATGTAAATGTTGAAACCCAACCCAACCCAATTATGTGTCGGTCGGGTCGGGTCGGGTCGGTTTATTAATTTGTAGTACCAAACATATCTTATACATCATGTAATTTAATTTTATAAATAATATATTCTCCACAAATTATATTAAAGAAAAGCAAGGAAGTAGTTATTAATATGAGTTCATTTCTAATTCACTAATTCATTTGCATAAAATATATACCCCATAATCAAATTATAATTCCAAAATTTATATAGTTAGTAATTTCACTATATTGAGATTTTATCGTTTCTACATATTGTGGACATATCTTAGAATATGACAGAACATCATTTTAAAAGTTGTCTCCATCCAAACCCACTTTATCCATCCTTGTTCTAAGTCGACCATATTGAGACATGAGAAAATATTAAATAAAAAAAGGAGCTTCTTCAAGAGAACCAATAGTGAAAATAGTATATAATTTAATCACATATGTATTACATTAAGCGGGAAAAAAAAACTGTCCCGAATTCAAAGGAATATTGAGCTAACAAAAAAATCGATTCCAAATTCATCCATGTAATTAAATTGAAAACACAATCATTTTTCAAACTCAGTATCCATCCAGAAATGCAGAAAAAAGGTTCATTTGGTTCATAGAAGCTATCTTTGATATGATTTACACAGTTCGGACAGGCTACAGCATTGCCGTCCGATCTGGTGCTTTTCTACATGAAAAAACTGCATTAAGAAATATCCCAGACAAATCTTTAATTATAGAAAGTTTATGAGCAGGATTAATAAAACTTACCTAATTGGAAACAAAAATTTCACCAGGAGGAATGATATTTCTCAAATTTGTAAAGTGCTTTTATACAGCAGTGCTACAAACACAATAGAGTTAAATCCATTGTTGCTTACTCATCACATCATAATTCCTTCAGATTTTCGAGCAGTTCCATTAATTGAATTATGCAAAAGATGTCGAATTAAGGTAATTTCGAGGATAAAACTCAGAAACTCAAAACACAATGTACCAGATAGAAAACCCGAAATCATACTGAATTCTAAGAACAAAAAATTCCAGCTGAAACCCAAATTGTTCGGAAATAAATTTCTTAGTTATACTACATGAATCACAGTATCGAATCACCCCAAACATAAAATCAAGAATCCTTCACATACTTAAATTCATCAAACCCACAAAAGAAAACTAATAAAAAAAAAAAAAAACCTCAAAAATTCTAAGGATCCTCGTCTTCTGTTGCTGACTTGCTGGTGTAGATCTGTTCCTGCCTTGCTGCCTGCTGGTGTTGAAGAAGATTTAGAGATGAAATTTGGTTGGTCTTGGAGAGGAATTAGGAATTTAGGGGCGAGAGGCGACTGGCGTGAATAGTTTGACCCGTTTTCATTTGTGTGTCCCGATTTTAATTTCTATATTTTCGTTATCGAATTTGAATTTTCTTTTCTTCCCTTTTGAAGATTCACAGAATGTTGACTTTTCCACCCTGGCACAGATCAGTATTCTGCGTAAAGAACATGCTAACGGGCCGGGCCGGGCCGAATCTTGCCTTTTCGAACCAGAACTTTTTAAAATGTTATGGTGATTAAAATATTTTTAATAATCACCTTATTTAGAGCTGTTTGAGCCTCATTTTTGCACAAAAAATATATTTTGGAATGATATTTCAATGGAAACAAGACAAAACTTTGAATTTGCATATAATATTATTTTATAAAAGAATTTGATTTAAAATAAGTAAGAAAAATGCATTTTCGAAATGATGGAGATCAAACAAGAGTTTACTTGCCTTGTATTAATGAACTATGTTATATGTACATCATGAGTTATATTAAAGTTTACACTTTTTCATGTGGCTAGATCTTCTCCATTTATTTTATTTAATCACAACTATTACATCACTGTTCAGATTTTTCATGCACAGAGAGTGTCAAATACATTGTCAACCAATAATGTTCATCTTCCCACTAAGGTTAGATGCAAGAATCATTCTTCTCGAGCATGTCATTTTATTCGTTAGATAGGCCATGCTATATGTATACAAATGTTGACATATTGATTTTCACCTATGTGAGATGACAGATTTGATAACACATTTTCCAATCAATTGTCAAATTTTTGACACATATGGAATGTCAATCAAAGTGGACACTTTGTGTGTACAAGTAATTTAATCCTTGTTAAAATTTAAGGAAAATTATGTGATTTCCCAACCTTTTCAGATGTGCGAATATAGCTCTTCAACCTTAAAATGTGAGATTTTGACTCATCGAGTCCCACGTAACAAAAACTAATAATGTCGTTAAAATTGCAAGTGACTTTCATGTGATTAAAGCTGTGGCAAAGTTATGGAATTGCTTTATCAATATTATTATTAATTGTTTTTTTCTATTTTAACGTGAAATTCACATTGATTTGAACTTTCAATTGTTATTTATGTCACATATGGACACAATTTCATAGAGTTAAATAGGTTTAAGAGTCAAAACTTCTCTTTTAATAGAATCGTTTTTACATTATCTAACCGGTTGAAAAATCCCTCCTTAATTTTCTTAAAATTTAAAGCAAGAAAATCTTTAGTAACCATCAATTGTCAATAAATTAATAATAAATACATTTCAAACGTTAATTCTAAAGTTAGGTTACCTATTTCTTATTATTATTTTTTTGGATGAGACAACACACGTGTTAATGTCCTATGAAAATGATTCGTGAATGATACTGATGATATTTATAGTAAAAACTACCAGTTTTACATACACGTGTCGCTTTGTTGTTTGATGCATTAATGTTATAATTATTATTGTTTCAAGCACCAAATAGCAAAACGATGCATATATTCCGCATAGGACGACTTGATAATTTTCTTTATAAATAGCACTATTTATGATAAATTAAAATGGATATGTTTCAGGGGAAAAGGAAAATACAATAAATAATATTGATATCTTTGATGGAATAAAGGAAAAATTACTAAATAAATGGTATAGCCCACCAATGTTGATTAATTTTCGTCCGATAAATGAATCAAGGGACAACTGTCGGCCAACCCATTTTTTCTTTGTCGTGAAAATTATGTGTCGTTACATGTCAGAAAATCAGGCCATATCACACGAATTTTTGGGGTCAGAATACCCTCGCAGGATCGTGATCTTTTGTCCTATCATTATAGTACATGTGTCGTCCAAAACATAATGGTCACGATGACTTGATATCATCATCAGCTTCCTCCGACTTATCATCAACAATTTGTTCAAAATTTCAAATTCAACGATAAGAACTAGACACGAAGGTTGTTCTCGTTGCGGGTGGATGTTTGGCCGTTCATAAAAGTCGAATTATAAGCTCTCATCACTTTTCTTTCATATATCTTTTTGTTCTATTAAAAAAAAAATTAACAGCTTTAGTCACTTTGCGGCACTATCAAACACGATTCACAGTGCAGTTGAGAAAAAAAATTCAATATAACGCACAAGTAATTGTACTTAAAATCTTCAATCTCTGTTTAATGTAACGCACAAGTAATTAACTTTATCGGACGAACGGTTTCATCAAAAAGTCATTTGGGAGGGGTGGTAAAACATATTTTACATATATCAAATATAACAAATGCAAAAGGGAGATAAATTATTTTTTTCCTTTATCTCAAAGGACGCAAGCAGAAGAATATTGAAGTCCAATGACCTGATTAGTGCAAATTAAGGTTCACTGAGTTAAATGACAGTTGCATGAAAGTTGATAGCTTTCCAGTGCAAATAACACATCAAGGATTACAAGAACTTGTATCATTTTGTCAACCAAAATCATCAAAACACCGTAATGATGAAACTACACAAGTTCAACCACATTTGCTTTTACACCCTTTCAAAATGTATATCCTAGAAGTCCTCAAGGCCTGAGTAACAAAATTAAACTAACCAAGAGCCTAGCTGGCTTTGTGACAGTTGCATTTTCAATGTCTTTTCTTGTTTCCACTTTGCTTCGACGGGTTAAAGAGCATGTGCATAAACAGAATGACGGCGACAAGCACTGAAATATGAGAACCATAATTGACCAGCAGCTTCTGCATAGACAGCATAGTTGAAAAGACACACAGTAAGAGCACGGTTGGCAAAATAGTGCATGAGATAATCCATCTTTGAAGTATTTCTAAGGGAATTCAACATCTTTAGGATCATAAAAAGATGCTTCAATACCCCCACCCCAGCCAATGATGAAAAAACATATTTATCAACCAATCCAAGTACCAGAATAACATCAAAGCACATGATAAGGAGAAAAAAATGCCAGTCAATCATTTAGCCAAGATAAATGAAAGAAAGCCAAGAAAGGAAGTTGTTACCTTTAGCTGAGCATTTAGCCATAACGACATTTTCCATCCAACCAAAGGGAAAGCGGAAAACAAAGCAAGAGTATTACGTCAGTACACTACTGAAGGAAAAAAAAAAAAAAAAA